TTTTCCTTATTTGTACCTTATTTTTCCTTATTTGTACCTTATTTTTCCTTATTTGTACCTTATTTTTCCTTATTTGTCTCTTATTTTTCCTTATTTGTTACTTATTTTTCCTTATTTGTCTCTTATTTTTCCTTATTTGTCCTTATTTGTCTCTTATTTTTCCTTATTTTTTCATTATTTATCTATTATTTTGTTTAGTGTTTTTTCCCTATTTATCTCTTACTTGTTCTTTTTTGTTTCATATTTTTACTTGTTTTTTAAGAATATATTTATATGTTTTGTTACTTTTACTGTTTAATTAGTGTTCTATATTTTTTTTTGTGTGTGTTTTTTTATGTTAATTAATGTTGACATTATTTTGTCATTGTCTTATTTCTTTAGATTTTCCTTATTTAAATATTACATTATTGTTTTGAATCATTTATTTAATTTGTCTCGCATATGTTTTTTGTTCTTCCTTGTGTCTCTTATTATGTGTTGTTTACTTAGTTGTCGTTAAACAATTTTATTATTTATGTGATATTGTATTCCTTATGACGACACCGACCTTATTATTGTTCATTTTTTTGTATCTTAGTGCTCATTTGTTTTTGAAATATTATCTTATGTTTTCCTTAGTAGCTTAATATTTTGTGAACGTAACTTTTGCTGTCACTGTCTGTGTCGTTACTTTTTTTATATAATGTTTTAACATTATGTTTTTACAACTAATTTTATGTGTCTTAAAACAATGTTGTGTCTCACGATAATGTTAGAGTATTAAAATTACACTCATTATGTTTGTATTTTTGTTATGTGTTTCCTCTTAAATTAAAGTTCTAGTTTTGTTGTTGCTTTTTAAACGTTTACTCACCTAAACCATATGCATTTATTTGTCTCTACATCATATTAAGTGTGTCCTTCTAATTTTATTGATGATTACGTGTTATATGTTTTCTTGTCAATATATTTATTTGTTTGATGTTTTACATATTATGTAAGTGTTTCAAAAAAGTTGAGCCATTCAGTTATTTGCTAACCGCAGCAATTTCTTGTGCAAACAAAGTGATCATCTATTTTCGACCTGTCAGACCCCGCAGTCACACATGGCGGACCCGAATTCTCATCAGTCATGGGTGAAGGTGAACATGGCACCGGGAAACCCAGCGTGTCTTCACTTTCCAGAGTCAGCGAGAACACCATCTCCCAGAACCTTCATGTCCTACAACTCCTTTCCGGACCAAGGGGTGTACCGGAAGATGTACAGTGAACTTCGCCGGAGGGACCTTGACGAACATCGGGAGTATGGGCCAGTTCATGTCTTTGAGAACCAAGAACTCGTGAATCCTCGTGAGCGCGCAGCTGCTGATCATGCTGAACAACAAGAACCAGTTGTTGGCCCCAACACAGCTGCTGAAGAGCAAGTTGATCCTAACACGCCTCGTGTCCATGACATTGAGAATGGGGATGGAGTCACCCGTGATGCCAAGATCACTGTTATTGATTTGAGCAGTGAAAGCAATGACAGTGGCAGCCCAACTCGCCTTTCTGAAGCAGAAGCGGATGCTACCACTTCTGCAGAGAAAGAGCCGCCGAAGACGCCTGAGCACAGGATTATTCGTTCCATGGCCAGTCCACCTGCTGGTGCCCGACGCCGTTTGTCCTACTCTTCGGATCGCAAGACGGATGATTACAGTTCGAGCACCAACTGTTCAAATTGCAACCACCAGTTGAAGAAGCTTGGAAAAAGAGTGGTCACAAATACGCCAAGAATCCCAAGGTCAAAAACCCCTACAATCTGGACTTCACTCCGGAAAATCCAAGTTCGTCCTCCAGCTCAACACGAAAGCCTATCAATTGGATGTCACTAGTCATGTCAAGCTCCGATGAGTCAAAGAAGCGCAAGCCTCGAGGACTCAATGCTGTTGCTTCCGGTCCTGCTTCCAAGAAGCGGAGGCAGGGATAGTGATTGGTTTGAGCTAGAGTCCGTCACCACATTGACGGAGATGAAGTGCCAGGCAGCCTGAATCGAAATGATGGCAGGCAAAGGGCTATGTTCTGTGTCAGTGAAATTTTAAAGATCGTTTCTAGATCTTCTGAATGGGTTCACTGAAGAAACAGGCATGGTCAATTGACCAGCCAGTCCTTCCACTTAACCTGAGACTGCCTGATGATCCTACAGACGAGTGAGGAAATAATATTGCCTGTTACTTTGCTGCCTGACAGACTAACGTGACTCTGGCAGTAGTCCAGTGGTCCAGTGCAACTTCATTATAATATATATTATATATTATGATACGACATCTATTATAGCGAAAGTTATTTTTCTATTCAATACTTTTGGACATTGATCGAACCAAGTACTTGACTTGTAAGTAGCTGGATTAGATTCAGAAGCATTGATGTCACAAACTCTGCCTCCAGGACATCACAGTGGTGAGGATCGGCTGTGGTGGAAGGGCTCGCTTGGTTCCTGAGTCTGAGGGTTGCCACAGGGATTGAGTAGAGACTCAGCCATCTTCAAAATCAATCGAGCGGTTCGGGCAAGAGGTGTTTGACTACAAACCAACAAATCCTTGTCTCACTATAGTATAGCTTGCAACAGACTGTTACTGTTTGTTTGGTCTTGTGTTGAATACCAGTATTTATCAGAATTTCTGTCCACGCTCCGGCCACATCGAACTCACAAAATCATGGCTAAAGCCAGGTAGCAGCACGCACAGTTTCCAGCAGGAGTGGCAAACACGTCTTCTGCACTGCCCAGACGCCAGACTCTGACTCTGACAACACTCTGTCACTGTAAAACAGAATACACTCTAATACATACTGCTAATTTCTGACCGTGTATAAGTATACTTTGTTTATTTTAGTGTGTGGCTGGGCGCTCAAATACTTTCTTTGCTGCCGACCTCGGCCCATGAAAAAGGAAAGAACCGAAGACTTTGCAATTTTTTGTCAGTCTGACTGAATCTCGCTGGGCGGTTGGCTGGAGTTGTCGAATTGTTTGTTGAAATCACTATCGACACTATCGTGACTTGATCTCAAGACTGACTAGACTAGTCCCTTGACAGACCCGATTCAATTCAAACTGTAGAGTATATTATATTCAATCAGTCTGCTTCATATTCTTGACGGACACTGACTGGCTGACTGACTTCGATTCGATTCGCCTCGCAGCTGTGTAAAACTACAGATTCAAGCCTGACTCAAGCGCCCAGGTATTACCTGGATGGGCCTGCGAATCAGAAAGGCTCATGAACCAGCAACTTACTTGACACACCGTGCGCCAAACGCTTTATTTTGGACCAGTTTTTTGGTCGTGCTAGTTAGTCACCGGGTAGTAAGTCTTTGTAGGAAGGTGCAATTACTAAGAATTGAATCCGGCATACTGAAATTGTTCATTGGTAGCACGCTCGATTGATAACTTAACCATAACAGTCCTTCCTGGGATGGAAACTTGCTGCCAAGGAACATTGGCTCTGCTGAAATGGATTTCTGCTCGGAAATGAGCCAGAAAAGCAGGAAGACCATTTTCGGGATGATCGAACCTGGGATGCAGTGTTTACAATGCAATATGTCATATTTGTGTTGAATTCGATCTAGATAGTCTATACTAGACTAGACTGAGGCTTGAGTCAGTGTATCCACTGTTTGTCCATTGAAACTTAACTAGTCATATTGACTGACAAGAGTAATTTGTTAGTTCATCCCACGGGTCTTTTCCTCCTGTATGATTCAAAATGAAAACTGCGCAGTGATCTTAGGCGGTTGTTAAGGGCCTGCAGAAGAGCATGGCATCAATTTTTGGCAATGGCCTTGAGCTCTTTGTTCCAAGAGTTCAGCTGAAGGCTGGTGATGACATGGCACAGAGCGTATTGGACCCTCCCACTGTTGCTGAGCGACCGCTGCTTACTGCTGCAGCTTGCCAGAATCATTGGTCATGTGTCATGTCCTGCGGTTGCCACTGGAGAAAAAAAACATTTCAGATTGCTGGTGTTGAAAGTATCCTCACAAAATCCTGAGAGTCTTACGTTAGTTAGATTGTTGCCCTGAAAACATATGTTTGCTTCAATTCTGAAACATGACGACATGGTGGTGTTGTCATTTTCTTTGGAGAATGGTCAGTCAGCTGAGTCACCCGACGAAGAATGCCTACCGTTTAAAGCACTGCATGCATTGAGCTTCAACTCACGGCTTCGGCTATACACTGAACCAGACTCCCTACATTCCTTCTGGAATGACCTCAAGAATTCATACAAGCGTGCTGACCTACAACCAGCACTTCTCCTGGGAATCACCCTATCGCAAATGTCCCATGGACCTTTCACCAGTGGGCCCAACCAATATACCCGTGTTCAGACAGCCGAGCTCCTCTCAGAGATCCTCACTGAAGATGAGTTTCAAGCCTTACGAGAGGCTATGCTGCGAGACAGAGGGGGGCGAGAGGACTATGTAAACCACATCCCTGAGCAAAAGGAAGACCTGCCAAGTCTGGCCGCTGTGCAGAATCTTTCAATCTATGTGGCTTGGTCATACATTTTAGAAACAGGGGGTGGGCTCAGCACATTTTTATGATTGATTGGGTGATCAAACCTCTAGTTCTGACTATGACCACAGCTTTGGTTTCACCCAGACATGTCCAGAGTAATCATTCGTCATTTGGGAATGTCAAGTCCAGCCCAAGGCCAAGTACAAAAGCTGGTTTCAATCCATTGTCGCAATGTATGTTCTGGCGCTTGACTGGTCATTGAACCAACTGATCATTGGCAAGGCCGTTGACATGACGAAGACCAAAAAAGCATCCAAAGGCAGAGAGGCATCTGCAAGTGCCGCCGCAGTTTCTTGCTCTGGGCTTTGGAATTTGTTATTGGTCCGGCTTACGTTTTTTTGAACAAAAACACTTCTTATTTAATAGTTGCCCACACCGAGTTGTATTCATTTCTTTGAAACTCGTCACACGGAATAAATTGTTTTGTCGTTGCCATCCCCAGACCGTCGAAGGACATGGACATCGACGATAGTGATGTTGACGATGGTGACGGTGACGGTGACGCTGACGCCAATACCAGCGCTTTCCAGAGACCGCAAAACCGAAAGGAGCTTGACGAGATCAGACGCAACTATTCCAACAAACTGGAAATGGCATGCCACTACTACCAAGATCCGCTGTTGCCCCTTGAGTTCAAGGCAATGTACTGGGCATCCAGCGCGGTTATGCGAGAATACCAGAGCACACTGGAGGCCCACAAGCAGGGACAGGACCGAACCTCTACAGACTGCCAATTTGCCAAACATAATTAATTTGCCAAACAATTGCAATATAATATATTAGAACGCCTAACCGCTGTTATTATTTATCACTGAAAAAACAATCACAATTGAATTGAAGTTGCCTGTATTCCAGGAATCCACACTTCGATGGAGAGCAGCTCGTTCAAAGGGCCAAACGTGGTTCCCGACCGTCATCCAGACTATGTGTTCCATCAATGATGCAGAGACTATGAAAAAGCTGCACATCTCGTTAGAGCGTGGGCAACACTACGAGGTGGATACCACTGAAATTGAACTACTCAACAAGTACGCAGTGCTGGCCATTGAGATTTGCTCTGCGAGATGCTGGTCACAGAGTCAATATACAATTGTGTTGCCTAATGTCTTCTCTTTGGTCCACCACGAGACGCCGCAAGAGCGTCAAAGGGGCATCCGCCTTGTGAAAAAGATCTGGGACGCTGTGCTGAAAGCAGAGGAGTTTGTGTACGGTGATGGCATGATGGCAGCGGATACCAAGGATGCCCTTAAACAGATCCTGAAAGACATGGCATGGAACAACACTCAAGTGACCCGGGAACTATACTTGGTTTGCAACCAGGCAGCGTGGCAAGCTGATCACGCAGAAGTGCGTCAACTAGCGTGGTATCTCTTCTCCTCGCCGGCCAACACGAAGCATTTTCTGGAAGACACATTTGGGCACTTAGCTGATGTTGTCAAGCGGTTTGCACGAAACTTCAAAATGTCAAAGAACCTTAGCCTTTACTTAAATGATGTTTTCTTTTGAATTTTGATGTTCGGCTGTAGGTCTCTGCCCCGTGACTTGTGAATCAGTTACAATAAACATGTGAACTGAGGTGGCTACGCTATTTCTACATGACGTGCACTCCATCCCAGGACGAACTCAAGTGGACCAGGTTGGAGCCCACTGCCAATGATTTCACCCGTTGTGTGGGACAAACTCGGTTCTCTGTAGATGAGAAAAAGCGCGGAAAGACCTTTGACATCCCCAAAGCTTTTGCTCTACCTGCATGCTTGAGATACAAGCCTTCCAATCTGAAGGTGGTTGACAGATCAGCAGGGACGGCCGCCAACCACCGCAGCGCAGCTGCGACTGCCTGGATCATCTCAAACGCTGTGAGTGACTTCAGACATGCTGCTGATGCATGGACAGGCTGGTTATTTCAAATGAAAGAAACAATCACCAGGAAATTGTCAATCCTTTCATCTGGCCTGGTCACTTGAGATTTCTTGTTATATTGTGTTATAAATTATGGCGTTGGTTTCAAGTGTTTTGTGTCTGTGTTCCAGCAATTTATCTCCAGGTTGTCTCCTCCTCAAGCGGAAGATCTACCAGAATGAAAAGGGGAAGGCCTATCTTTGCCTGGGTTTTCGTTCCTATGCTGCTTTGGGATTTCCTCTGGAGAGAGTCAAGCTGGCTGACAAGGACCAACAATAAACGGAAAAAATTACACAGACGACACAAATAAAAATGCTTTAATTTGTATTATAATATATATAGTAATATATATATATATATAATTTATTTAGGTGTGTCATCTGATACTAACTAGATGCTTTCAATAGGGGATGGCTGGAGCGTAAATGACAATTGAAACAACATATTGAAGTTGTAGTGGTGGTAGTGGTCACACTGGTGAACTAGTGTCCCCCCTTCTGAGAGGAGTACATCGTCACAAAAAAAGAGCTTGCTACTGGTAGCCTACCACGCTGGATGATGAACGCTGAGATTACTGGAGAGGGTAAGTGGCAAATGCTTCCAACTGAGCTTCGCTTGCCTTGCCAAATCCCTGATGCATTGAGCTCTTTTGGTAGCGTGTGGGAGGTGGTTGGCCCACCCCAACCACTTTTGAAGAGCGCTGTGAAAGCGGGGGTTTGCATGACTGCTGCAGACCTCCAGAAGATTCAAAAGATTCTCAAGTATCCCCTCCCCCCAAGGGGCAAGGGATCCGGCAAGTCAGGGAATTTGGTGAAGCAGGACTTTGCAGAGGCTCTCGTAAATATGCTATGGCCAGAAGATACCCCCGAGGAAAAGAAGAGGATGGTGGATGCCCTTATGGGAAAAACACTGCCTCGTGTGAAATGTGCGAGTGATGTGATAGCAGCGGTCAAAGAGCTTGGTGCCGAGGCAGAAAGAGACTTTAGGGAACTTCACCAAGTTGCACTCAATCAAGAGGCAGTTGAGAAAGAGCGGCGGCTTAGGGGCCCGAATGTACAGGAACGCCAGGACCAAAAGACTTTCACCCCCCATTCGCTGAGAAAGTTGCTGCCTCCTGGACAGGGTATTGGATGTAGCAGACAACCTGTTCTTCAGCGATACCAAGCCTTTTATCCAGGAACCATGGCTTGTTTTAACAAATTACTTTTCATTGTGTGTTCTACCAAATGTATTTTCCCTTCAACATGTTTAATGTGTTCTATGCATTTAGGGGAGGCCTGTTTAGTTAGTTGGAGCCCGGAGCTGTCTGTTTGACAGTGAGGACGCGTGAAAGGTTTCCTGGACACTCATGCAGCAACCTGGGATGGACCCGTCAGAAAGCTCACAGAAACTCAGGCGTTGAAAGAGTGTGTCCTAGACTTCGCATGGGCTAAGCACCTGATGCTGCATCCTGACGATGCTACTTCCATGTACCTAAACAAAATTATTTATGATACAGACACAGGATTTTTGTGCATTCTTAGAAACTTAAGTGGGTGCATGTGGGTCCTCGAGGTCAGTACGGATGTGTGTATGTTTTCTATTTTGAACTAGCCATCTAACGGCATCGGTTAACGTAACCCTTGCAATCAAACAATGAACAACACTATACTGTTGTGTATTTTGAGACTTTTGATTGCAATGCTGCAGTGCAATCAATCAAAGGCCTACAGAAGAAATGATTGCTGCTGTCGTCAGCAACTTCGATGCCAACACGGGTATGCTAGATGCGGACACTGGTATGGAAGAGGTGGCCTCGTCGTCAGCAGCGGCTTTGCCAAAGGCTAAAGGCCGTGGCCGTGGCCGTAGCAAAGCTATGCCAAAGGCCAGCAAAGCTGCACCAAAGGCCAAAACGGGCAGATCACGGGGTGGACGCCATTAAGAAAAAACTATGTTCAATTCAGAAGTGTCACCAGCATTGTCATAAGATCATTTGGATTGTTTGTGTGTTTGCCATCCGCCCTACTACCTGCTGAATGAATGTGTTGCAAGTGTCAGTGTCGGACCTTTGAACTGGAGAGGTCATGATGCGTCTTCTGATCTGAGAAAGATCTTGAGATGAAAAACGCACAATCTTGGGTGTGTCTCTATTCTATGGGTGCAGGTGAGGATTCATTTATCCACTGCTAGGGTAGTTGGTTGAAATAACTACTATAATCACGTCAACTTACCCCCATGAACATATAGTTACATGGGTCAGGCTGGGTCTTTCCCTCAGCAATATTGTGGACATGTAGTGTGGAAAGCAACGACCAATGAAGGTTCTGAACAGGGTCTATCTTCCATCGTCTTTGAACTATATAATTTTAAGACCTCATTCATTCTCTATTCAAATTAACATGAACTCATCCAGGATCCTTGGACAACTGACTCCTGTCATAACAAGAGGTTCTTGACTCTTATTGATCTTATTTGCTCTTATTTGTCCTTTATTTTCTCTTATTTGTCCTTTATTTGCCCTTATTTGTTCCTTATTTGTTAAATCTTTATTTGTACCTTATTTGTCTCTTAAATGCTGTTATTTTTCAAATGGCTCGTTTTCACATGGCTCGTTTTATGGCTATGAGATGTGTTTCGTACATAACCAAGGGAGGAACACTTGACACAAAGATATATATATATATATAATATACATAGAATTATATCGAGGTTGCCTACAGGGTTTGGTACTTCGGGGTCCCTGAAAGGTTTCGTTTAACGTCAATGGCTGGTTCAAGGATGAACCTTGGCCGCTCTTTGGTCATGGAATCCGAGTCAAGAACTTGGCGTGTTTTGTCACACGTGGGACCTGGAAGTGGGCCGTATAGATTAAAAGTCATGTTTGGTCATTCTGACCCCGATTGATCACCTGGAGCCAGACGTGTGCAAAAGCAATTACTTTAGGTTTGGCATCACTAAACGCTATCCAGCCCAGCCACCTTGTAAATAGGCTGTGGCTTAGAGAGACAAAACACATGATGAAAGAAGTGAGAACAGCTACGTAGCACTGCTGCTAGCAAACAGTTCAATCCAAATCTGGGCATCGGCAGCAGGTCTAGTTAGTTGCCCTCAACATGGTTTCCTCCTAACTGACAACTTGTATGAATGTATGTAACGTAACGCTATGCAATGTAATGTCTATGATGCAATCCAACCGGAAACAGGAAACATTTCATGCCGCCTGAGGAGCTTTCCTGAAGATCTCAAGCCCAGTACGGTGCACGAAATTGCAGAAGCCCACCAACTCTGAGACGCTGGGCTTGTCAAGCGGGAGAAACCGACAGGGGTGGCTGGGTGAAGGACGGCGGAGGCGCTGAAGAAGGGGAGCTGATCAATCAAGGGCTTCAAACCCTCAGGGACTTTGCCTGGGCCCAGAACCCCACGCAGCAGGGTCTTGCGCAAGCTTGATTGGAATAGGCCCCAGGCCAAAAGAAGATTGCAACAGGCTGCGGATGATGTGGATTCGTACTTGTGCATGCCGCTTGCAAGGTTTCCGATGTTTCAGAAATCGTCCAGAAACCTGTGGCTGGAATTGACATTCCTGGTTGCAGCAGTCACAGGAAGGCTCTTCCTTTGCGCTGCCAGATCGAGATGTCAATGTGATCCATGTTTAAAGCTTCAGTCCTTCCATTGAGGTGGCAAGAGGGAGATGAGTTGGAAGCTCTGTGGAGAGGAGCTTGGCATCCTGCTCGCTTTCTGAAATATGGCCACACTAATCTGCAGATCCAATGGACCACGGAAGAGGACGGGAGAATTGCGCACGTGCAACACACCTGATTGATTCAATGAGTGGAAGCCACAGCCGGCCTTCAAGCGGTTTCGCATGTGACGATGTGTCATGATATGTCACAATGGTTTGAGGTATTTTGCAAACCATCCTTTCCATTTCCATGGTTCTCTAAAAATACCAATTCTCCAACTGGGTCACTTCAGTGGTACCATAAACAAACGTCCTCCCAGGCGGAGCATGTAGAACCCATGACCTGCTGGGTCTCCGAAGGCCCGGGAGACGGCGTGCGCCGGGACCGGTCAACATAGTGTGTGATTGAGTACACTTCCAGTGTGAATTCTTAGTACATATTTGAGGATACCACAACAGGAGTCATGACATTTCCAAGTTCATGACCCCGAATACCCTGTAGTATCCTGTAGTGCTTGAATGGGTTTTCCTCACCGAAACTGTCATTGGGCTTGAATGGGTTTTCCTGATCGATGCCACAGCACAGGAACCAGGAGGGTATCATGAAGGTAGCTGACAAAATGGGGCTCCAAATGAGTGGACGATGAAGCAAGAGTCCAGTTTTGGAAGCACCGCTGGCCCACCGAGCACCGCTCGAAGGCTCAGTGAGATCTCCATCATTGCGAGAAGGCGCAATGGACAGTGTGACATGTGACCCTCAAATTGGTCCCTTCTTCGTGGTAGCATCAGCTGGTTGGAAGCTTGCTTTTCGACACGTCCAGGCTACGACTACTGGAAATGGCTAAGAACAAGGCATCTTGTGGATCCCTTCGCCCTGCGCAAGTTGCTGAGATGGACTGTGGGGATGGGGATGGGAAGCATGGGGTCAAACATCTTGGTCTATACTTGCTTTATTGGTGCTCACATAGTGCTCACAGTGCTGACCAGACCTGCATCTTGAGGAAATTGACCTCACCTGGTCGAGAGTGCCTGTCTATGAGAGCGATCTAGGGAATTGGGGGACTTCTGATGTTTAAACTGATATCATGATATCTCTAATGACTTATGATGCAGAAGAATAACACGGCTCATGAACCCAAGTTGCTTTCTTGAGATCAATCCCCGGATGGACTTTGACGAGGCTGCTAAATCGTGCACCAGAGCATTGTCTCCACTGCATACAGGACGCCCCTGCGACCGCTGGCCAGTGACTAGACAGGTGATTGAACAAAGGCAACCACATACAGTACAGCTGTCTGAGTCTGAGCCTGCCATGTACTGTTTCTGGAACGAATCTGATTGTGTTTTGTGACTGGGCCCCCGCGTTTCTGGAGGGGACCATGTTTTGTTTGGGTGAATGTCTAGTCTCCAAAGAGGCACCACATGGCACAAAGACGGACTTGACAGAGGAGAACACGCGTGGATTCAAATGGAAGACGACCGATTCGAGTTATATATATATATATGGATTGGCTCCTTGTTTTGATATCTTTTGGGGATCAGTCACGGTCAGACGGTCAGTGGGTGTTTTGTCCCTGGCAATTTTTCAGGAGCCCGGCCTGGTGGATGATCTGCGCAGCTTGCTTCGGGATGCCATGGAGTGCGGGCTGATACATCTGGCAGCGCACTGCGCAGGCATCCTGGTGCAACTCTTGTGCTATGGCCCTTCCACTTGGGAGATGGCTACTTTAGGCCTGGAGGGCAAGGGCAACATTTTCTTTGTGAAGAGAACACGAAGCACTGGTTTGGAAACCACGTGCTATACTTGCGTGTACTTACCCCTTTTGCAGCTATGCCTTTGGCATGCCTCAGCGTGAGCCCTGACGGTTCCTGGGAGGCGAGGACTTGCAAGACATCCAAAGCCTCATCGTGAAGTTGACCGAGGCTGTGAGTGACAACTTGGACGGTTCCCGCGAAGCTCTCAGCATGGCCACAGCTTATCTCTCAGCCTTGGTCGCGTAGCCGCAGCAAATGGCGATGCACAGCCTTTGATTGTTCGTGCCTAAAGGCTGATTCGAGCTGTAGATGGCACAACTCCTGCGTGTATTGCACAAAGCCTAGTTGGGCTGCCTGCACTCACAATTGCTCTCGTGATTGCTCCAGTGCTCCATCTACTTTGACATTGGTGTTTGTACATCATCTTATCACTCAGGCGTGGAGCATGCAGTGGCGACACTCAGAGGCTTCATCCACACCCAGTTTGCCCGCAGTGCCGGACCCGCCAGGGCCGCCCGAGCCGACTCAATCGACAGAGGCGGTTGCACCGCTGCCTTTGCCACGGGCAGAGGTGGAGGATCCGGCACTAGGTGCTTTGGCCACGCAAGGGCGAAGTCAAATATTTGCGGGTGGATGGAAGAATTGTGTTTCCCTTGCTTTATCAATTGAAGTGTTTGACACAGACATTTGGCTTTGCATTGAAATCAGTGAACGAGAGAATGGAGAACTGTGTTGAGCCCTCGAACAATTGTTCAGTAAATTCAGCGGCAGCAGCAGCGGCAGCAGCAGCAGCAGCAGCCAATGACAATTTTGCTTCTAAAAGCCCTGGCTCACCGAATCCACAGATAGGTTTCACCAGGTCTGTGTGTCCGGCAAGCCAGGTGCCTTCTGCATGTGTCCCCTAGTTGAAACCACACCAAACCCTCTCATAGCAGGTGTGTTTGCGCCAAGCAACCAAAAACAACACTAGACTCCAGCTTCACTGATAATGTTGGTGGTTTCAAGATGTTTCATTGTCAACCTTGACCCGTGATGGCTAATCTCAATGATCCGTATCTTTTTGGCTGAAACCACCAACCTGTTCACATGTTATACTCTTTTCACTGACACGAATGGTTGGGAACATCACTGAGCATCCTTAAGACGCGAGGCGTCTTGAAGCTGGTGGATATCCAGAAGCAACTGGACGAGGAGATGCAGCAGCGTAGGGCAGCGGAAGAGGCTTTGCATGTCAAAGAGACCGAGCTTCAGTCAGCCAAGCTCACCATGGGGAAGTTGATGGATGAGAAGAAGCTGGGAGAATAAGGCTCACATAGGAGCCTGGAAGGCCTGGAAGGCCTGGGACAGGTAGATATCGTTTCGAAGATGACACGTGCTCAGACGGTTGATAGACCGGATCTTGATCGACATAAATTCCAAGCTTCATATAATGTTAGAATTGGAAAGGACGACCTCTTTCCAGGACGCTACTAGGAGCAAGAACGCTACTAGGGGCTCCTGGCCGTACTACTAGGAGAATTAGAATTTACTTTAAGTTTAATTAGAATTTATATAAACTTTAAGTTTAATTAGAATTTATATAATTAGAATTGGATGCTGAGAAGCGGACTTCGACCTCTTTCAGTCGCGAACGAGCGGCCAAAAGAGCTCCGTCTCCTGGGAGTTTTGATGGGACACAGTTGGGTTTGCATTGAAACTGATGTTTCAAAAACATAAACACTTTTGGATACGACTTACAACTGCTTTTGTTTTGCGGGACAGTTTTTTTCCACTTCATCAAGGGTTCTGACACACTTGAAAGGGTGTTTTTGGGGTGATTATGTGTCAGGCCGCTCAGGCCACAGTTCCTGCAGCCCTCTAAGGAAAGATCTGGCTCAGCGGATTTCAGACCTCGAGCCCCTTGGATGGGCAGAACCTTGTTGGAGATGTGTCTTTGGAAGGTTGCACATCCCAAGCTGCGCAGACGTGTGTTGAATTTCAACCTAAAAGGCTCCTCAAAACCGTTGGACATTCTTGTAGTTGGCCCCAGGGTCTCCACCGACGGTTATCGAGGTGAAGAGTGCGAAAGTGGACGAGGGCTGGTATGAAATGGTTGATCCAGACTGGTTTATATAATCTAAGCTGTTTCCACGGGTCAAGGGACTCTTCGCATGGATCTTCGACAGGAGCACCCTGCTAAAGACCAGGTATTAAGGCTAGGCGGCTAGGCCCAACGCAGCACATATAATACCCTAGGACGCTACTAGGAGCAAAGGGCATCGCTACTAGCAACAAGGACGCTACTAGGGGCTCCTGGCCTTGCTACTAGGAACAAGGACGCTACTAGGGGCTCCTGGCCTTACTACTAGGAACAAGGATGTTACTAGGGGCTCCTGGCCTTACTACTAGGAACAAGGATGTTACTAGGGGCTCCTGGTCTTGCTACTGGGAACGAGGACGCTACTAGGGGCTCCTGGCCTTACTACTAGGAACAAGGATGTTACTAGGGGCTCCTGGTCTTACTACTAGGAACAAGGATGTTACTAGGGGCTCCTGGTCTTACTACTAGGAACAAGGACGCTACTAGGGGCCTTGCTACTGGGAACAAGGACGCTACTAGGGGCTCCTGGCCTTACTACTAGGAACAAGGACGCTACTAGGGGCTCCTGGCCTTACTACTAGGAACAAGGACGCTACTAGGGGCTCCTGGCCTTGCTACTGGGAACAAGGACGCTACTAGGGGCTCCTGGCCTTACGGAACAAGGATGTTACTAGGGGCTCCTGGTCTTACTACTAGGAGCAAGGACGCTACTAGGGGCTCCTGGCCTTGCTACTG